GTAGCGACCGGGGCGAGGCGCAGGGGGGGGCGCGGAACTTTAGGGCTGGGGCCGCGGAGGCTTGGGGCTGGGCCCGGGAAGGGCCCGGCTGCGCCGCGTCTCTGGGACGGGGCGGGAGAGGGGGACGCGGAGTTTTGGGTTCCTGTGAGCTTGTACATAACCTCCGTTTCTGCACATGTTTCGTCTAACGAGGTTTTAACCCTCTAAAGTCTACTTTATTTCTTATGAAGTGGTGGGGGTTTTTTCCTCTTAAAAAAGATTTTGTTGCTTATTCAGGGTGTTTGATGCAGGTGCATTAATTAAGGATATCCTGCCTTGTGACAGAGCAGAGTAGTAAGAAAACAAGTATTAATTCTTTATTTAAAGGAGTTAATTTGGAAATAGCCTTAAATACAGTTCTGAACCAGATAAAAGTTATTTTGGTAAATCCTCTAAATGCAATAGAGATTTTATTTACAGTGTAGGAAAACTAGGGGGGAAACCCATTTTCTTGCTTCTCACTAACCTAACTGTGACTAATTACTCCTTGCTTAAAAAAATTAAAAGGAACAGATTAAATTTCTGTCTGCAAGGCACAAATTAATCCATTTACAGAATTAGTGCTCCATTAGCACACAGGAGCCCAAATCTGTCTCGGAGGGGATGGTAGTATTTGAGTTTTGGATTCATTCCAGTAGACTTTTAGACAGACTAGTGCTGACTTAACATTCCTGCTTCCTTTGCAGCGGTGAGCACTGCACTAAAGACGAGCTGTGTGTATTTTGGGGATGTAGGAGGGGAAGACTTTGGTCTGTCTCTAATGCTAAAATAGCATTAGAAAAGAATTAGTATGAGCTGTGGCTTGTGCTTTGTCACATGCTCGTGCTTACAGTTTGATTAGAAATACCCGTGCATGTTAGTTTAAAAAAAAAAATAGCTTTTTGTTCTTTTCCCCCTTTTTCACGAGGGAGCTGGGTCTTGACTGTTGAGTCTCTACCGGTCTGTCCTGGTGATACCTTTGGATACGTGCAGACTGACCAGGTTCCGCCGGTTGGATGCGAGTCAACTCCAATTTGGAAGCAATATATTCATAGTGGTGCTGTGCCTGAGCTCATAAGCCTAGAGCTAATAAACCTTGCCGAATGGCTCATCTTATTTGTTTGGGCAGCGTGTTGCTCTAAAATGGTTAATGCGGCTCCTGGATCCGAGCTGGTTCACATCTGGCCAGTTTGGGGTCTGTCTGCATGTGGCCGTGGAGATGTGCTCTCAGAGCTTCTTTTTATATTTTTCTTTGGTGTCCCCTTTGGAAATGGATGCAATTTAAATCATATGAAAACAAACAATCTTCTTGCAAATCCACAGCAGGGAGCGGAGCCAGGAGTCCTCATGCAGAGGGAAAGGAAAAGGAGCTGTTTGTGCTTTGGAAAATTGTGGATAAGGAGGGAGGGGAGCAAGAAGGTTGGATACACATCCTAGTTTAAGTAACTTCAGAAAGAGTGTGATGTTCCAGTGTTTATAAACTGGTGCTGTTTTGCTGGAAAGACCTAATGGGACCACATGGCCTGTATTTGTGCTGTCTAAACATTTCTCTAGTGTAGAATACCTTTTGCATGAAAAACTTCCATAAAACCATATTATACAATGGTTTTCTTGTGCAACTGTACTTTAAATAAACCCAGCATTGCCTGTTTTGGTTACTTCACTGGTACTGCAAAGGGTCCAGGTTTAAACGAGCAGGGAGTAATTGTAGAAGAGACCTACAGAGTAACAAAGGTATTGGGGCTAGAGAAGTGCTAAGGGGCAGGACTTCAAAATGGGTGATATAGAAATGGTCAGAATGGACTGATTTTGCTCGCTCTGTTAGATAGTATTAAAAAAATTTGAAATACCTGGATGGAAATGAGGGAGAGGACAAATGTTGATGCCATAACTGCAGGAAGAAGATTAAATAATTACGTAGTTAAACAAAAAACATCTAGGAAAAATGCATGTGCTGCATTTAGCTGTTTGATTAAAATGATGGATCCTTTGGTTTGAAGATTTTTTTTTATTTGAGATAATCAGTTAAAGCAGCAAATCTTTCAGCACATTACATATTAAAAAGACATTTATATGTTGCTAATGAAAGACAGAAACAAACTGTAACATCATCTCCATTCAGTTTTATATCAAAATATTTGTTCATTTTCCATCATCTGTGTTTGAAATCTTGTAAGTGACATTAATGACGGGCATATGTCTCCAAAGTGCTTACTTGTCTGGCCTTTTTGATGCTGAAACCTTAAACTTTTTCACTGGTACCTGTGTCTTGCCTTTCTTTGCCATCTGACTACAGATAAGCCTTATAGTTCTCCTAAACTTGCTTTCTAGATCCACTTAGCCTTGTAATGTTCTTAACCTGTCATGACTCAACCAAGAGTAGCTCGGATACCTTCATGCCAGTGTGGTCTATCTGATGATGTGCTGTTACAGGAAGGAGAGCCAGAATGACTTCTGCCTTTTTTTATGGACTGTGATGACTCTGAGAATACAGTTTCCTTTCTTCATACTGTGGTACTTTCTGCTACTATCTAGCTGTACATTAAAGAAGCCTAACAAATTATTTTCTTGCTTTTTTTTTTTTTTTCTTTTCAGAATGAAATAAATGAGGTTCCTTTCTTTGATATCCAGCTGCCTTATGAACTGGCACTGAAGATATTTCAGTACCTGGGCAAGACTGAATTGGGAAGGTGTGCTCAAGTAAGTGCTGCTGACAGAGTGCTTCTCTGACTGATACCATGTAAAATTAGCAGAAATATTCAAGAAACAGTCAGGCACCTTGCTGTAGGGGAGATGTGTGGCAGACCTAGTAGCTCAGCTTGTTGTGCTTTTACTTATTGGAAATACTTCCAAAGCTGAATAATGAATAAATAATAGTAAGTGAGCTGGATTTATAGCTTGCAGTTGAGTAGAATTAAATAAAATGTTTGTGGCTTGGACAAAACCAAAGCCTTAAAATTTAAAGTAAATACTTGGAAGGATCTTTTGATTTGAGTGAATGTATTTAGAAACAAGTGAGTGTCTTGCTGCAATATTTAGAACTCCTCACTTTGCAGTGCTAAGGACATGGTAACAAAGCTGTTCCTCCCACTTTTCAGTGTGTGACTTGAACCATAGAAATTGGAGTAGTAACTTTTTGTTTGTAGTAATTTCATGTGAGGCTAAATTCTTAAGTTACACTGATTTCCTCACTCCCTGCTCTGCAAGGGGTTTATGTTTTTCTTCTATGATACTTTAAGATAATGTTTTTGCCAGTCTGCAGTCAGACATGGTCCATAATTTATGTGTAGCTGTAAACTGTCTGTCTTTTCAAGTAGCTTTACTAACTTAAACACTCTCACAGACTTGACAATACTTAGGATTGTTCAGCCCAGCTATTAAGCCTCTTTATCTCCTTTCTTCACACACTGAATGATGAACTTTCTCTCTGAATGAGTCTTAAAACCAAACTTAATTGGCAAGTGCTGATTACCCTGTGAAATAGAGTAGAATGTTGTGGATATTCATTGACAACTTCTCCCATGCTGACTATTTAGCGTTTCATGCTGGTGTTGATTGAACACAAGTCCAAAGCACATCTTGCAACTTCACAAAAATCCAACCAGAAGCATTTTTTGTGTTCTGCTGGAACCATGCCGTGGACTGTTTGTAAGAGAAAGAACTAAGATGTACAATTTGAAAAGTGATGGACAGGTTATGGCTTTGTTGTGGAAGGTAAACTAGACACAAGTATTACCCAAATGTCACATGCATTTAAATGATATTGGGCTTTTAATGTTCAGTATGAGTAAGTCATAGTGTTAAATAGCTACAGGTGGTTATTGCTTAAATCCTTGACTTGCTAATGCCTTTTAGGAACAGGGACTTCTAGAAGAAAAATAATTCCTCTTTCAGAGCTGCAGAGGAAAAAAATTCTCCAGGATTTTTTTTTTTGGTGCTGTCCAAGAGTCTGTGAAGCTTTCAGATATACTAAAGTTTCTGTCATTTGAGGTAGAGATACACGATCAGTAAAGGCTGCATCCCATGACATAGAACAGGGTTGCATTTTTGAAGTGGATTACTTCAGGGTTATTCTTTATCTCTCTTTTTTTTTTTTTTTTTTTTTTTTTTTTTTTTTTGCTTTTGGCATGATCGGTTTACCTCATGGCATAGTAAAAAGATTGGCTGATGAAGGGCTGCTGCTTTTCTCTGTGCATGGGTTGCACTTGATTTCTGTCTTGCTCGCTTTGGTTTTTAACTTGAACCTGTTCTCATAAGATGTGTTTTAACACTGAGAAAATTTTCCACATTTCTCATTCGCCTTCTCAGACTGAGTCAGTTGGTCCTATGTGGCAGCTGACAGGTAGCTGAGCAAATGCCCAGTGTTTTACAAGGCTTTCAGAGTGAGATGAATATCCAGTGCTTTTAGTGCAGAGCTGGCTTCTTTTTAAGTGTTCAAATAAAAAGCAAAGCAATAAAAATAAATACCATTTTCATTTTTCTCTTGGTGATTGTGTTTTTGAAGGGGGGGAAGCCCTCTTCTGTTAAATGGAAAGCCCTGCTGCTTTACAGTGTTACCGTAGAAAGGTTTTGGTTTTTTTTATTAAGGCACCTTGGGATTTTAGTGAAATTGAGCCAGTTAGTGGAATTGGCATCATGAACTATGTGAGTGCCTTTGGAGAAAACCTGTTTGCTTAGTTCTTCATGCCAAATTGGTAACCGACTAACAGTAAAGTAGCCTGACTGCAGAGCCTCTTTGAGATTTAATCACACCACAGACTGCTCCGGAGAACTTTAATTTCACCCTGATATTTCACCCTCCCCCTCTTCCCCACAGCTTTTCTTTGATTTTTGGAATTAGTACTATAAAACACACACTATCTGTATGGCACTTGAAATACAACAGCCATGTGCAGCATGTAAATTAATGGTGTCATCAGTTCTTGAGCTCTGGTGGGTTTGCAGTAGTTGTGTGATATTCAGTAGCATCCAGCAGAGACCAGTCCCTGCTGATACCCAATGCTTATAATTCAAGGAGAAAGCTATCCAGGACTTAATGTGTCCACAGAACAGTCCAGAGTAATGGCAGAATTTTCCCTCTGCTTTATGCCAGACCTTTGAGCACCTTTTGATTATGTTCTGACCACTGAAAGAAATATCTATGTTATGAGCAACTCTTGTGACTTCTGTGATGAGAGGGTTTGAGCACAGTCAGTCCTTCCTCCTGGTCTGATGTAGAGGGAAAAGAAGAATAGTCACTTGGGGCACCACAAGTATGACAAGTTGAAATATATCAGAAGTTCTTGTGTCGTTTGGGACTGATACTGCAGACACCCGCAGTTAACCCCACTCTTGACCTGAGGACCTGGCCTTTAAACTGTCAACTCTGTGATAAGGTGATGCGTCTCATACGTGAACTTTTCTGTATACTTACAGTTGTTATTGTTTCCTAGTAAATACCAGAGACTGCATAAATTGCATTTTGTGGTGTGAAATACTTCTCCACAGTATGTACTGAATTTTGGCAATGCTAAGGCAGTTTTATTTCTGAACGGATCAGTGGGAAATTGCCTTGAACTGTTAGTATTTTCATCTGGGAGATTGTTTAGAAATGTTTACCAACACAACAATTGCATATGTATCTAGGACAAGGGAGATTGTTTCTAGGAATTTAAGAATGAATTGACTTGCATAAATCAAGAATTTCAGATGCTTGTCTCTAGAGCTTCTGGAATTGACAAACTGTTAGGCTTTCAGTGTTTATACATTTTAAAAAAAGAATCTGGTATATTTATTGAGCGTACTTTTGCATCAGGGTTGCATATGGGTAAAAGTAATTGTCCACCCTCCTCATAGTTCAGAGAGACAGCGGAGAAATGGGTGGATAAGAGTATTCTGGGCTCAGGATGAGGCTTAAAATAACGTTATGGCTGTGAATTGAAAAGATGAGCGGCTTCCACCTGGTGTGGCTTCCATCTGAATGGCTTTGGATTAAATACTGTTTGGCGCTACATATTGTACTGAGTTGAAAGTCCAGATATTTCTAATTGAGGGCCCTGGCTTCAGTAAGTGAACCTTGACTATGTCTTTGTGTGTCTAGGGAAGAAAATAAACCTAATGAAACAAAGACAGTTATCAGATGGAGAGGGATGAATAAACCTTCATTAGGATTTGAGCCAGTTGATTTAGATGGGATTAGAAGAAATTTAGGATTTGATGGAAGAGGTGGGGATTTTTTTGGGGGAAAAAAAAAAATCCTCCAAAGACAAAACCAAATATCAAAACCTGTATCTGTGAAAGCCTTTGAAGTCCTTCAGAATGTTATTATTTGCTGAACTCTAAGGTATAGAACTGTTCCTTTGTGGGGCTCGGGGAAACCAAAGTTTCTTTGCTACAGTTGAGAGCTTTTACTGTAGTAAAAAGATAATAAGAACACTAAAGACAAAATTAAATTGGTGGCTCTATAGAAAGAACTCAGATGTTGTCATTGATAATTGTTGGAATTTCTGCATAGTGTAGATTTGGAAATAATTACGTTCGTAGTTTTAATAAGAGCTTTGCATGTCTCAGCTACTCTCCAACAAGCAGAATGTATGGGTGTGTATAAATGAAGCTATAATGCTCTGACTTTAGGGGCCTCACCTGAAACTCTAAGTCAAGCAGATCTAATAAAGTTGACTTCAAGCCAATGGCTGGTTTTAATGCGGCAGCTCACAGTGGTGCTGTAAAGTGAAATGCTTGAGACTCTTTTATTAGAGATTTCTTGCAGCTGAGGCTCGCTCAGTGGGGCTTTTACAAGGGATTGTCATGCCAGTTTTGGTGCATTAAGAAAAGGCTGCATTAGGGACCCTTTGGAAATTCATGCTTGTAAAGCAGCAGGATTCGATGTAATTTGATTTAAAAAAATCATAATAGGATAGGATCTTTATTCCCCTTGAATGTTTGTTCCTGAAAGTTGAAAACGCAGTTTAAATTTTATGTAGTGTGTGTTTCCCCCCCCTTTTTTTTTTTTTTTACTGCCTATAAAATGCTTTTAAGACCTTGAAACTAGAAAGGTCTGTACAACATTGTCTATTTTGGCAAACTCCAAAGGTGTGGGGGTTTTGTGTGTGGTTTGTTTCTTTACTTTTTTTTTTTTTTTTAAAGCAAGGCAAAAGTTGGTGTAGTTTGGCTTTGTTTACTTCTGCTTGTGCATTAGCCTGTCCCCTCAGTGTCAGCAGAAATGTGCTGTGGTTACGGGAGGGGGGCAGAGCTGCCATTACTGTTGACCGGGCTTGGCTGGGGTGCTCAACTCCTGCAGAACAGCTGCTTTTTTTGTGTGTCAGCAAAAAGCTGTGTGTTTTTTTTTTTCCTTTGAGCAATAATATGTGGATTTATATTACTTTAGAATCAAATTGAGAGCAAATTCACCACTAAACTGTAATGGTTTGAAATTTGGATTGCTTTTCTTTGTTTTTGAACTTCCTGAGTGTGTCCTTGTAGGGACAGGAGCATTCAGCACTGTTGTTTGTTTTGTTTTGTTTTACAGGACCATGTATAATGCTAGAGAAGACTCAGTGCTGTTTGTCATTTGTAAGGCATTATAATTGCCATATCCAGGTTGTTTTCTTTGTCTGACGAGGGAAGGTGTTTGTATGTCTGCTAGTTTGAATTGAGGTCTTTTGGTGAATAACTAGAATATTAGCTCTGCTGGACTTGGATATTCCTGTTTGAGAGCTGTGCTTGTACGTAGGTATCAAATCTTAAAAGCATATTTAACTTACTCAGTCCACCCCTCCTTTTTTCTCTCATGTTAAACTTTTTTTTTTTTTTTCCCTTGGAGGAAACAGGTCATGAGATGTCCTATGATGCAATTCTTGATTTCCTGCTGGGATGTTGTTTTTTGAGAGCAGTAATGATACATGTGTGTCTTTACAGGAAGACCAACAGGCAGCACAGTGTAAACACAATGGCTAGTAGCTTCAGAAAGTGTTCAAGAGGAGATCTAGGCTGTGCATTGGAGAGCATGCTGGCCCACTGTTTGGGAACTATATAGCATGCAAGAAGGTTTGGCGTGTAAGATGATTTTGCGTGCCCAAGGGGATTATAAGACACAAGGGTCATGTTGATGGGTGCTTTCTGGACCTTAGCTGCTTTCTCCCTGCACTGCTGTGGGTGTTTTGATGGGGCTGATCTTGGCCTGATGCTGCGTTAATACAGCAGGCTAAGGGATGCTCCTCCAAGTCATCACATGAAAAATTTTTACAGATCATGTTACAAACTTTGAGATGACAAATTATTGAAGGGGTTGTGTGTGGTGTTTTCCTAACCTCTCTGTAAGTCTCACTGCACACTTCATTGCTCCAGTGGCTTGTGTTCAGCATGAACGTCTTGCAAATCCGTACCAGCCAAAAGGATCTCATGCTTTCAGTGTTTCTCATGATACATAGTTTTGTGAAGCTATACTTTGTATTTGAAAGCTGTGGTTTTTAAGAAGTCTGAAGCAAGGTGTGTGTGGTAATGACAAAATAAAAAGCAGATTAATTTTATAAAGTGGAGAACAAGTAATCGTTCATCTTACAACATGGCACAGGGAGATGAATCTGTGTGTAAATGTGGGACAACTGGCAAGTAAAGAGATGGTCCTGTGAGAGTTTGTAGCAGTGGGAGACCTAGGTTCTTGGTATAAGCTTGGGACTGAAATGGATGTTAGATGCTTAATTGGAAGTTGCAAAAAATGACGTCAGTCTGAGAACATTTTTTTAATCTTTTGGAAACAGCATACAATTGATTGCTGCTTTCACTGGTAGCAGTTTTCATTGGTTACATCTGGTTTTTTTAAATTAAGAATTACAGAGAACAAATGCTACTTAAATTGGCTCTTACCTCTTGAATCTTTAATTCTAAGCCCACAATTGATTATGATGAAGCTGTTCTCTCTGAAATGGACAGCAACTTGAGGCTCCTTGAAAAACTTAATAATTCATTCCTATTTATGCCTACTGTAATACAATAGGTTATAAATGACTCATGTCATACACCTAATCAGGCATTGTCAGTAGAACTTTAGAGATATGGTGGTGTGATCTGAGAGGTTTTCTTAGCTACAAATATGAAAATAAATCCATATTTTTTTCTCTAAATGTATAATGCTGTCTTAATTGTTTTCTTGCTTCTCCTCCCTTCAAAATTTTCTAATACCCTGGTATTTCAGGTTGACAGTGTGGCCAGTAAACACTGGTGTCCATGTTGCATGGAGTTTTAATGGAGTAGAAACTCAGTTATTTTCAAAAGAATCCACAGAAAAGAAGCATTTTGTTAAAGGACTGGGTTTATTATACTCTCAGTAGTATAAAGTGTGAACAAATGCATTTGTTTAGATAAGAATTTAGTCTCAGTGCAGGCAATATATTGATTTATGTGCATATATTTCAGCTGTTATTTAAATCATTTTATGAGAAGTCTAATTTTTACTTTATGCTGTATATAAAAAAAATTGATTTATAGGTCAGCCGGACATGGAAAGTACTTGCAGAAGATGAAGTGTTGTGGTACCGGTTGTGCCAACAGGAAGGATACCTATTAGATACGAGCATCTCTGACCGTTCCTGTTGGAAGCTTGCCCTCAAAAACTGCCGTGCCAGAGAGCGCACTTTGAAAACCAACTGGAAGGTAAAAGGGAATTTCTTTAATGGGATCCAGATGCTGTAGAAAAATGGGAATCTGGTTCAAGGAAGTGGTAGTGAAAAGTTGGTCTTTTCTATTGCAGCTTCTTTTTGCCTGTTAAAGGGGGAAAGCTGCTGAAGGATTTATGAGACCTAGCCCTAGCTGTAATACCTTTTTTTTTTTTTCCCCAATGACTGGTTACTTTTGGGAGTGAGTCTGTCTGCTATACTACTACACTGGCTTTGGTGAAAGAGAGATATTTATGCTTCAGCCATCCCTTCATAATGAGAATCAGCCTTGAAGATGAAGGCTCCATCCCCTGTTCACTACATACCCTGGCTAAAAGAAAACTGTAATATTGTTGTTGTGGTAGTTGTTTCTCTACTTAAAGATTATGAATGATAATGAAGAGTGAGAGCTTCTTTCTTTTCATTTCTGTCTGTAAAAAATTCCAGTCAGCAAGCATAAAATAGATGTCTTCTCTCTCAGCTGCACTGCAACTTGTCAGCAGCAATAGCAAAGCTCAGAGTTTCCACGAGGCAGAAAATTAACTTGGTTGATGAATGTATTGCAATACTAACTCCATGTCTTGTCTTTCTGTGCAGAACCGTATCGGTGGTGTGAGCCAGCTGCAATATGAGCTGGGAAAAATTCTTTGTGATGTACATTCTTGTGATGGAGTTGTTATTGCTGGGTGAGTATGAGGTTGTGTAATGCTCACTTAATCTTCGCAGTTTGAAATCTCATGTACTGCTTTTTAACAAATTCAAAAGAAGCACCTGTTTGAGGCAACATGAATGAATTTTTCCGACCGCTGTTCCTTTATGGGTGAGGTAGATTGTCCTTAAAATGACTGATAATCATGGTTATCTACAAGTCATTTCAGCCGTGCAGATTTTTATTGTGCTATTCAAAAAGCTATCTCATGTACATGTACTCCCTGTAAAGACTATAGTACTTTCTCATGAACTGTATCTATTGTTTTGCGGTGGAAGCACCCAGAATGTATTCAATATTGAACACATCTACTGAAAAATGCTCTTTTTATTATTTTTTTTCCATAAAAATCTCTTAATCACAAGGATTTTTTTGTGTGCTGTGGCAATATGCTGAAATGCTTTTGAATGCTCTTGGGCAACTGAGAGCAGAAATCTAAACTAGCAGACGGCAGGAGTGAGAGTCACGTTTTAGTATTTGATTCATTTGGTTTTGTGTTTTATTAGCTGCACTTTCACTTGTTTTACTCCTGCGTTTGGAGGTCTCACTTTCTATTCTCTCTGCCGTCCTATTTACTGACTATTGGTTTTCTTCCTGTGCTTTTCATGCAGTGTTTTTGCTGCTGTTATTGGATGCGTTACAGAAATGAACATGCTTCTGCGGAAGAGCTGTGTAGTCTGTGACCTCTAGAGGTACAATGCCACACAGCAGTTCACCTAAACAGTGGCCATAGAAAGAGGCTTTAAGAATTTGTGTGCCTGGAGTACCACAGATCTTAGTGACTCGTGCCTGATGTTGAGACTTTCTCGAGCCACCAGTAAGACACCGCAGCTCCTGCCTGCTGTGGTCTGCAGCTGGGATCCAGCTCTGCAGATAGCAGCCCAACTCCTTTTGTGCCCTTCAGCTTGGGCAGTTGTTCCCTGGCCTTGGCTAGGGATCTGCACTACTGTATCCGTTCCACTGTCTCTAATGAAACCTCCTGTACTTTTTTGGGAGCCAGAAACCCCAGTTGTCTCCATGCTGCTGCCAAAACCTCCAGCTCTTCTTTTTCTTCATTTTCTCCATTCTGTTTATATCCAAACATGCAATCTATAGAAGGTAGGCAGAATAAATTAAATTTCTAAAGAAATAATAAACAAAGGCTATTAATCCTACATATTAAACTCAAAAAAGTCCATATTTTAGCTTGATTTAAGCTTCTATTACGGAAGTTGGGTTTATGCACAATTTTAATATTGATTCCACAGTTCCTCCAGTATCTCTTGATTATTGTGGTGAGTTTGCATCAGTTGGCATGGTGAAGAGAGGTGGTGCCATTAAATAATCTAGGTTCCTGAAAGGTTCATGAAAATAGGTGAGCAGGTAAGAGACCACTGAGGGAAAAACTACACATGTGTATCCATTAGGATAAGCAACGTTCACTCAGATTACTTTTCAGTAATTTGCCTTCTCTGAGAAAATTAATTTTAGTAATGAAGAATCTTTTTATGAAGCTATGAGCATATATTTGATGAAACAACATGGGGAAATCAGAGTTCATCTGTTTGACTCTACTGGTTAATAAGTAAAATGTTTAGAATATTAGAACACAAAAGTTAGATTACTTCCTTTGCTATTTACTACTTGCCCTTCACTCTTTGGGTAGCTTGAGGTCTCTGAAAGCATCTTTTAAATTGCTGCAAGTAGAAAACTGTTCTGTGAATCTTGCCCAAAAGAAGACAAATTTGTTCTGCCAGTGATGATTGAAGTCTGCAAGACAGTAGCACACTGTTGCACCTCCCAATAATGTCTCATTGTAACTATCAAACAAGACAGTCTTAAAGTTATAAATTTACTAGCAAAAGAATAGTCATCATATAAAACCTTCAAAGACATTAGCAAATTGTTCAGGGAAATACTTTGTTACGTGCATTTGGTAAGTATTTAGGATAGGTAGATTGAGGAATTTATTGGGCTTTTGTTGTTTGGTAGTGTTTCTTTCTAAATCCAAAAAATAACCCTCCCCTTTCTCTTCCAGCTTATTGTACTTAATGGCTTTCAAATTTGTCATAAAAGTGTAATGAATCTGGTGATCAATAGCTAGCTGTTGCATTCTTTCAGTCGTGCAGAAGTAATTTAATAGCTGAGGTTAACAGAAGTCAATTTTCTTCTCAGTATAAATATCAATTATCTGTTATATTTAATGATTATATCTCCAGTTTTCAAACACTTATGCTCTTAGATTTACATGTGAATAATCATAGATTACAGTGAGACTTGGATGTGCATAAAGCTAAACTGATGTGTGACTTTGCAAGACTTGAGAAGTTGGTGATGATCATAAGGCTAATTTTGTGGGTGGAATTTCCTAGGGTGTTTCTAAGCAGTAGCTTGTGGCATCATTTACCTTTCTTCTACAGTCAGGTTGCTGCACTGGAGAAAAACGGGGCCACTCAGTTTTTAGCAGGTTTTTTGATGTTTGCCTTTGGGGAGCAGCTGCAACACTGGCTCAGCTCGGTCAGGCCAGCAAGGCATTACACTCGTCTTTAGAGCTGGAAACTGTGGCAGTGTATAGCAGCTGCTCCCTGGTTTCAGGACATTCAGCTCAGGATCTTGGGAGATCAGTAAATTATTATAAAAATTGAAAAAGGTGTGGAGAGAGAGGCTCTCCAGCAGAAATGCCGGGACTGTTGTGTATTTGGAGTCTTGGAGCAAGCCTGGGAGCAATCTTACTTGATTTGATTCAGGGTTGTAATAGATCTGATCATGAGTTCTTCGCTACACTGCTTCAAACTCTGCTGGAAAGTGGAATAATTTTTATTTCAGTTGCTGTAGAGCTTTTTTTTTTTAAAAAAATCTTTCTGAAAGTGGATTTTTACATGTTGTGGGCAGAGTGACTAAGCCAGCAGCTACCAGTGTGATACATAGAGGCATAGTTTGCCTGAACCTGTTCAGGAGCAGATCTCTTTGTTAACTTTGTGTAAGGAGGCAAAGATAAACTATACCTCTCCCTTAGAGAAATGTACCTATTTCATGCACTCTCCTCTATTTTCTCCACACTGCTGCCAAAGCTCAAGCCAGAAGATGGCAGAATATCAAGGATTGATTAAGTGCAACCTGAGCTGCGAGTTGAAGGTGGCTGCTAGCAGCTCCTCTTTCTCAGAGCGCCTTGCATTTACTGGCTGACATCAGATAATTCAATCTGGCCTGCATGCAGAGCATCTTGTGTTTATCATTAAAATTTCATCCCAGCGGTTACGATGCTTGTTTTCTAGGTCAGACCTTGAATCCCTTTTCATTTGAGACAGCGGTGTTTGTGGTTACCTCACTCCCAATCAATGTTGTATTCACCAGCCTTTCTACAGTTACATGTCTCAAAGGATCTTCTTTAAAGAGATGTTGTCCTCCCCCCTCTCCATATTCAATTCAAATGTAGTTTCATCTTTTAAGTCAGAGTTTACTTAAAACAATTATATGTCTTCTTGCTTGGCTTTTATAAATTACTACTGGTGATTAGGTTCACTGTACCTAATGCTGTTGTATGTTTGGTTTCAGTACAGAATGCCTGGATTTCTTCACCTTCTGTTAATAAAATCTTGCTCTTTTTTTTAAAGCAAGCGCATGTTCAGACACTAAAGCTGCTACTCTTTTTTTTTTTTTTTTTCCTTGACAGTGTTGACAGCCACACTGATGGGCATTTGTAGTCAGAGGTTAGGTCTTCCTGGAGATACCTATCTCAGAGCATGCATCTGGTCCTTGTTTGAACTGTGTTGTCATTACATGATGGATCCTGTGGTGTAACATGTCCGTAGTATGCTGTGAGACTGACAGCTGTCTGTCTGGCTCAGTGTGAAACACTCATGCATGGCTGTCCTTGAACTGTTTGGTAAGCTTGCCTTGTGTTGGTGGCAGTCACCTTGCTTCACAACACACCCTGTAAAACCACACCAAGTCTGCTGTGAGTCAGGGTGATGTTTTATTGTGCATTGTGTTAACTTCTTTGTGCTTGTGAGAAGGGCACTGTCACTTTACTGCTGCTGTTTGTAGCTCTGAAAGCTTCCCAGATGAAAATAAACAGAAGAGATCCAGGCTCAGACCACCCTTCCAAAGATTCAAATATAAAGGTATCTGCTTTTTCTGTCTCCAGTTTTTGTTGTCTGAAGCAAGAGTGGTAGACTGTTAGTGAAAAGCTTACATAAATGGAGATTTAAGGGCATGCCTCCGCTGTGTCACAGAAACAAATCTAGCAGGTGCTGCGTGGAGTCCCTGCACCTCTCTCAGACTAAGCTGGGAGTCAGCCCCTGGTTCTTCAGTTTACATTTTAACTTCAGACATTTTCCTCTTTCCCCCAGTAAGTACTGTCTTCGTTGCTAGAGATGTTATGTCCTTGAGTTAGGGCTAGTGAGATTCATCTGCTCACAGATTTAGAGTGCCTCTAAATCAACAGATTAACACTTCCTTCCCTTCCAGGGTGGAGCACACCTGGTGCAGATGGTATTCCTCCAGGTGATGTTTGATAAAGGCAATGAGAAGCAGAAAAAATTTCTAAATATCCTGTGTAGTTAGAGGAATCATCCGTTACACAGGTAGTGATACATCTTGATTCTCTCATACTGAGAAACTAAATGCACTGAAATAATTTTCATAGAGTTGCCTTTGTTCTGAAGGAGTCTTATGGGAGTTACAGTTTAAAAACTGCAGCGCTTTTGAACATTTTGGGCCTTTCAGTTTAAGTCATTATGAGCCACATACAGACATATAAGTAGCTGCTACTATATGGTAGTTTTCTTTGTTCTCTAGGATCACCTCCCACTCTGCTTTCCTCTTGCTTAAAGGTGACCTGCAAATGACTTCTTAAAAAAAATGGGCTTGCCGCTCTTTTTAGCTTCATAATGATGTGTGAAACTAGCCCGAAAGGCTTGAAAACACTTTTCTGCACTTTTAAAAACTTCATGTCAACTCTCATCTAATTTGGTTTTTTTGCTATAGGGCTTGTGG